TACGCCGTGGCTAGCAGTTCGAAAGTTTCATATTTGAACTCCAACAGATATCGTCTACTCCTTGTGATTTACCACTGTATCTGTTTAACTCTCTTAATATAATATTGTTGAACATTGAATTCTTCAGCATTTGTGCTCTCTTGTGGTTCCCCGGTAGACAGGGTTTTCATTATTTAAGGATGTCTTGACAAGTCTTTGAGAGTGTGACACTTCTCAAAAAGAGAGATTTTCCAATCTTATATTTGTGTCACAATCTCAGTTGTCATACATTGCATACACACTGGATTTTGGCTTACCTTGGACTTGATATTTTGGCAAATAAGCACACAGATTTTAGGACTTCTAGACATAACAATGTGCATTTAGGGTATACACAAAGCTCTGTCCCAGTACTTACTTTTTGAGTTGCGTTTGTCAAGCTTTATAAAACCATTGTCTTCCGACTTTTTCAGTGTAAGAAAGTGAGACTGGGTGTATGGGCTGTTTTACATACATGTTGCAGTTTGAACCCTCACCCCATAAACCAGTTCAGGACTCTGAATCAAGCTCTTCTATAATGTAGTTGGCCTGTAGTTCTGCATATGTGGTGCTTAGTTTCATTCAGGGCTGAAGTTCTGGTGTTTGTGAGGGTACCCAAATGGTCTAAAATCGCAAAGTACTGTGATAACCTCAGACTGGCAAACTGAAGGTAAAGCAGAGTTGTTAATTGCCACCATCTACCACATCAAGCAAACTAAAAGCAGAGTTGAATACTTAATGCATCGTGTTTCTACCATGTGCTTTTGTACTTAAATTTTTCGCCCACCAAACTTAAAATTTCAACCCTTCAGACTGTGTCTTCTTGTCAACGTTGTCCTAAAGGCCTTATCATGAGGCTTTTAAAAGTAGGTGGAAATAATTGATGAACAGTAATAACAGTTCTGCAGTCAATGATCAACAAAAAGTACTTTGCTGAATGGCATGTTTATTTTATCTGCTGAAAAATTGTTTCAGAAAAGGTTTGTATGACTGTTACTCACCATTACTCTTCCATTTTGATTCTGAGGAGAAATAATTTGCCTTTTTTTTGTTTTCTTACATGGTTTCTTTCATGCTCAAAGTCTAGATTTGCAGTGTGGACAGCAGACATGGGTGAATAGCACAGCCTGATACAAACTCTGCAGACAATGTTGATTTTGCATTACTAGCCAGCAGCCCATGATCTTTTGTCTTTGAATTCGTTTTGGAGAAAGCAAAAATCTGGAGTTCACTGTCAAATGGTTTAAGCTAAAAGAATTATTTATGTCTGCACCCAAGCAGCAAACTCAGAAAGTGGATTAACAGTTGAAGGAATGTTGATATTTTGTTCGCAAATCACATTTCTTGATTTATTTGCTTGTAGCCTTTCTATTTATAAATGCCATATTTACAGTCTCTCATTTTTAATTCAGTGTTTTTGATGCTTAGAATTGAATTATGTGCCCTGATTATTTTTGTGAAGTGGCTTATTACAATATATACTTTTATGATCCAAAATAACATGTCTCTACAAGGAATGTGGAAATTCAGGAGTAACTAAATGCAAAAGGAGACAAATGTTAGTGAGATTTGTGTAAGGTACAAGGCGCTAACGGTATTTTTATGGTACTTCGTAGATGATTATGGAAGCAGTAGATTTTGATTCAAACTGAATAAGGGATTAAAGGAGCGATTGTTTTTTGGGTTGTGCTTGCCGGGTTTTGGTTGGGCTTTTTTTGGTTTGTTTCCTTCAGAAAGAAAGACTTTTGGAAAAGTGAAGAACAATTGTTTTATGTACAGGGAACAAAGGGAAGATGCAGCTCTCGGTTCCCATTGTTCTTTAAAAATTTCGTTTGATTAAAAGAAAAAGCGTTGCCCTTTAGGGGATGAAAGATTTTTCCCAGCTTGTGTGTGTTGTTTTTTCATGCTTTTACCTTTTTGATTTGAAAACTAATTCATAAATTTTTTACCTATTGGTCCCTTTACTTATGCCTGTCTATCTATAAGGTCTTTGTTGTGAGGAAAAATTATTTCTATAGACTGTAGCGCAGTCTACAGTGGTTACCCTGTCGTGTGGAGGTGTAAACCTGGGGACACCATTTAAAAGTCCGTTATTTTTCTAAATATTATGGATGGAAAAACTGATGCTGTTTGGGATACTAAATGTTTTATCTGTGGTTTTAGACTCTGAATCAGGAGAGAAGTCAATCATATGGTTAAGTAATGTTCCAAATTAAGGTTATGGGTGGTTAATTTAATGTTTTGTGTGCACTTTCAGAGATGCTTAAAACATGCTGATTTTATCACTGCTTTTGCTTTGTCTTCCTAAGTTGTGTTGATTGGTTATATATTAATTTTCAATATAACTTGTATGTCTGCTCAGTTAATTTGAATTTATTGTTAGTGTTTGCTACATGTTTTTGTAACTTTAGGGGTTGAAGTAAAAACCCTCTGCTCACCAAAAATACTACTGTAAATACAGCATGGAAGCCTGTTCTTTTCATCCTATCTTAGTATACTCCTTTATTTTTTTAGTACTGTATTCCCTGTTTTGTAGTCATCAAGTGCTGGCATTTATATACAGGACAGCATGTGGATATAGTAGGAAGATTCACTTTGTTGTTAACGATGATTTAGGGAATACTTTGGGTTAAATTCAATGTCCATTGTATGTATTGGAATGTTTCCAATAGAATTTAAGAAGCAGACTTCACAGATGCATTTTGGAATCCCACTAGGTTTTTATTGGCATCACATATAAACAGGAGACGTGAAAATGTTACGCTTCTTTTGGTCCATTTCACATTCATCTTTGAAAATGAGCTACTAAAGATAATAAGATGGCAGCAAGGCCAGTTCAGATCAAAGATTTATCTAGTCCAGTCTTCTGTCTCCAAAAATAGCCAAAACTTTATGTGTAAGGAAGAATGCGAAATCAGGCATGTTTCACAGACACCAGAGACCAGTGGTTCATGGACAGCTTGGGCCAAAAGTTGTGTCTCTGTTCAATAATGATTTTTCTTCCAGAATGGCTTTTTGAACCTATATAAAATCGTCAACAGTCCTACAGCCAATAATGCAGTTAGAAAGATTGTAAAACCTAAATAGATTTAATGTCAAATATTTTAGAGCAGCTAAATATTCTGTAACAGGTTTGTAAAATTGTCAATGAAATAGTTAAAAGAAGTAAGTGCAGTTTTAGATAATCCTGGTTTTGTTCTTTCTAGCTGGTTGCTTCTCAGATTTTTCTGGAGTTAGAGAGTGCGTTCGTGTCATCAATCTGTGTGATCTGAGTCAGTGTTAGTGCGTTAGTGTTCTGACCATAGGCACATCATGTCAGTAGTACCTGTGCTGCTTTGCCTGCTCTTCCCACTCAGAACCCTAAAGCCTAACTCATAGGCTCTGTTTCTACTGGAAGCCAGGCAGGCAGGGTTCCAGGGTGTCTCAAGCCACAGACCACTGCTGCATTCTGGAAACAAGACCAGGCTACTCCATTTATATTTCTCCTGCACATCTGCAAAGAAGTAGTTCTACAACGGACTTTCTCTTAACAAAATGTATGAGCTTCTCAGCAGTTTCTAATTATGCTGCTTGACAAATAATGGGGAGAACATCTCTGTCAGAGTGATTCAGATTTGAAGTAGAAGGAAAACTAAAAAATGGAGCAAGCTTTTAGTTTCTTAAATAATTTGTGTTAATTAACAATAACAGCAACCATCTCAGACAAGAAAGCACATTTGTCTCCATTTGTTGCCTGTTTTATAGAATACTTAGCCCAGGACAGTCTGATTGGTGTGACCTTGGCATAGCTACCAGAACAGGGCGACGTAGCAATGAGGCAGGCAGCCTACTTCATCACAAACGGTATCACCAGTCGAGCAGGCTAAAGCTAGAAGCCAGTTGTTATGTGACATTAAATACCCTATGTATTTGAATGCATACCAACAATTACTTTAGCAAGGAAGTTTTAAGAAGTGATAGTGTTCACTCTCCAAGGTCTGATACCTTATTGCTCCTCCGAGATTAGAGAAGACAGCATTTTCACAAGGCTACTTGCCCTTTGAATGAACTTCTGTAAAATTGTTGGCCAGCTTTCACACAGGGCCGTGGAGGAACAGTGTATAGAATTTACATGACAAAAATAGTGAGTGAAAGTAGAATTCTCAAAAACTCTCTTGCTGCCAAGAAGTACAGAAACCTGTTGCCTGATTTTAAAGCTATTACTAAGACTATGTGCAAATATTGAGGGAGAGTCTCTCTGATCTGTGCTGCGTACTGGCTGTAAATACAGTCTACAGCTAATTGCTTTTGGAATGCTAGTAGTCTTTAAAACTCGAAAACCATATGGCATCGAAAATTAAAGTAATTCTTGTTTGCAAACTAGGGTGGTGTGCTGTGTTTATTTTTTTTGTAATGGAACACTAAAGCCATTACTCTTCTCTGGGTCTTTTATGAAATCTCTTTAAAACTTTAGGTAAGTGGAATATTTGTAGGTATCTCATGGGACTCAGGTACTAGATATTTAGATAAAGATGTGTATGCAGTTATTCAGTTGGCAAGAGTGTAAGTTACTAGGGTGAGATTTACCCTTTTCTTCACAAAGATGAGAATAAATAATGAATTCACATCTCTAACAAAAGCAGAGTAATAATTTTATATTTCAAAATGACTTGTTTATTAGTTTTAGGCCAAGTGTCGTTTAGGCATGCTGAGATTACAGCTATCTGATGGTGACCTGTTTTTTGTCCAATTAGAAATTAATAGGACCTTGGCATTGATTTATTTATATCTATACCATGAATAAAAATGCTACGGTTTTCTTCCAGTCTAGTAGGGAACACAACTAATAATGGAATGAAAGATCAACTATTATAGAAATCACGTAAGAATGAGTGAACTTCTCTTTCTGGCTCTCGTTGTACAGGAGATAAAAACCAGCTCTGATTGAACCTCAGTGCTTGAAATGTATAAAGACTGATAATATTTTATTGTTGCTATTACAGGATAAGAAGGCTTATCTGGACACCATCCACACCTATATGGAAGTCCATGGAACTGTTCACGGGACCAGCACTATTTACATTCCCGGCTACGTGAAAAACCATGGTATACTCAGCGGGCGGGATTTGCAGTTTCTGCTGAGGGAAACCAAAGTAAGTTTGTCAAGAGGGAGTAGTAGCAAAAGTAGCTACAGATACAAAGTATCTGAAGTACATGCGTTTCACCTCCTACGAATGAGTTCCTAATTCAAAAGCACTGGAAAAATAAATGACCAAACGTAAAGGAGCTTAAGTTGTCTGCTGTGTACTAAGAATACGCTTTCCATCATGTCCGTGTTCTGTGGTTTGACAGCTGTTATTAGAAAATTGGGACTACAACCTACAGTCACAGACACATTTAACAAGCTTGAGAAACATGGATAAATGCATTTTTCATTTTGTTAAATGTGATGTTCAGCTGAAGGAGATTACCAGCTGAGAACGTGCTCTGTTTTACATCCCTGATGTGAAAGTTAGGTAATACCTACCTGAAAGCTGTACAGTAGGCATGCTTGCTCTGCCCTACCAATGACTTGAACCTAGAGTGACCCTGCTCTCTGGGGGAGAAAAGAAGAAAGGCAAGCACTTCATTCGCAGTCAGTTCCTGCTTGTGCTTCAGCTGTGCAGGGAGAGTGGGCAAAAGAGCACGCCTGTGGTGGTGTGCTTTGCCTGTGGGCCCATAGTCAGCGGAGCTCAAGGTAAGGGACAGTATAGACATTGAAATAAATAAACTTTTGTCCCCATAGTTAGAATGCTTTGTGGGGTTTTCTGTGCCATTCCCATAATCTTTGGGGCACTTTACATCATTCAAACACTCGAGTAGATTGAAAGTTAAACATCCTATTTAAATGTAGTTGGTGAAAGAAGTGGTTTGTGTGCTTAAAATTAGCAAAATGTGTGGAACTGCACCACTTACTGCCCATTGTTGATAGTTTCGTGCAGTGCACTTCTACAGAAGAATCTATTAAAAAAAGAAAAGGAAAAGCAAGCACCTCCCAGTCTTCCCACACGACTGCAGAGATCTCCTTTTTGAAACATTTGCAAAAATGATGGTAATTTGACATCTCTGTGTGACAGCTGTTGGCAAATTATGACTTTTTAAAGGCAACCGCTGTGTGTATGTACTTGATGCATACAGATACATATAATGTTACAGATTAAAAAGTCAACATTTACTTTCATCATAGATAATACTGAGATTGCACAGCTTTTTGCCTGTGTGGAGTATGAAGTCACTGTGTTAATCATAGTACTAACGTGGGAAGAATATTGACATCGTAATAACCCCAAGCCCAAACAGTGACTTCTTTCTGGGGGAAAAAAAAAAGTGTTCTGTTCACTGGAATAGTAAAATAAGCTCATGGACTTGGTATAGAATTACTGAAGTCCTTAGAATTTACAAAGTGCTGTTCGTAATAATAGTTAAGTTTGACTAAGTCTTCCTCTATTCCTTTATCAGTCATCTTGCTTGTATGAAATTAAAAAGATGATTTTCCATATTGATAGCTCGTGGTTGTTACTGGTTGTGTTTGCTGTACTCTAAGATGCAATGTAAAGACACATTTGCTTTATGACAAATTCAAGTTGATATATACGTGTTAGGCAGCTCAGCACGGGCCTGTTCTATGGGTTTTGTGACACAGGAAGTAGCCACACTAGTTTCACTCAGATTTTGGCTAGTATTTACAATATCAGATGGAAGGTACTGTCTTGTGATTGTGAAATACTCCTGAGATCAGGAAGCTGCTTATTTTTCACAGATTATATTTTTGTGCAAAGCATGGATCTACACTGTACTGGTTTGAGTCCTGCAAGCATTTTAGGTTTTAATGTTTTTCTGTACTATTGCTGTGAGTTGGTTTTGGGTCTTTTTTTTCTTCCTAACATTGGGGAAAATCCTTTGAGAATTTGCTGCATTTCTGAGTATATGGCACTGAGAAACACATCAGTGTGTTTCAAAACCCTGTATCAGGAAGCCAGTGTTTTCGTTACATTAGTTTGTTGAGACAATCTTTCTTAATATGCTTTTTTTTTTAAAGTCTGCACACAATATTTTCACACAGCTTGCCTGAACTTTTGTGAGCAGATTTGAAAACGACAAAAGCTGTTTTCCTTTTAAGGAAATTATTTATTTATGATGCAGCCAGGATAACAAAACTTTGCGCTGATGATAAGCAGTTAAGAGTGCATCTGCTTCTCCTAATACTTATTAATGTCAGGCAAATGGGAGTGCAGTGCATTTTTGATGCTGTAACGAAATGAAATATGGCTTACTGCATCGTGAATTTTTGGTTATTCCTGTCTAATACTTCCTTGTTCCAATATGTCTAGTTTAACAGAAAAAGTGAAACGGCCGCATCCTGAGATTGAAATTGGAAATTGAGACTTACCATCTAGTTTGTTTGGACTTTTTCCACTGGAGGTGGATTTTTGAGTTGGTTTTTGTGGGTTTTTTTTTTTGCTAGCTGATGCTTTGCACGTCATAGGTACACTGGCTGTTCTGCCTTAGCAGATGGTTGCCTCTCAGTGCAGATCTACAGACGTGCTTGCTCTGAGTCTTCTTGTTGCTTGTACATTCGCAGTTTGAGATTTTGATATCCTTTAAGAGACAATACTTTAACATAGCGTAGCATAAAATACCACTCACCTGTCTCTACTGGCCATCTGCTGCGTGTGTGGGTCAATTGTGTTTAAACCAAATGGATTATGGATTGAATTGCTAAAAGAAGTGCAGGTTTTGCACAAAAACTGAGCTGACTTGAATGGGAGCTTTGTGCCCTGAGGAGCCTTGTGTATGTGTGCCCATGCACCCAGCGATGTTCAAGGACACTTTTTAATCATAATCACTTTAAGCACTAGGCAACGTGACCAGAGCCCCATAATGAATTTAGTTATGGGGTTTTGTCGCTAGACAGTCAGTGTGCTGAAAGTGCATGAATAACCGGAGCTGTAAGTCAGGCACGGTAACATCTGTGGGTACAATGCTCACTTGAACCATCTAGGCCTGCTGGTTGCTGTCTCCAGGCAGCAAACGTTGTCTTTAAGTTTCCAGAAACTTTCAGATTTTTCTTTTTCTAAACATGTTTTCAGACCTAAGGGCAAGGATTGTGTTTCATTGCTTGTGATTTCAGTATTGTGTTAGCAAGTTTTTGTTAGGTCAGCTGACGAATGATGTAGTTTTCAGAAAGTCAGAGTTAAATAATAATGTAATAAATCACACAGTTTAGTGTACTCAGAAGTGTCAGTTTACGTTGCACTGCTTCATTTTGCCCTCAGACAGCAAAATACCGGTAGGTGACGGCTCAGTCACGGTTCTTGATCAGAGCTTTGCATTCCCAAAGTGTACTTGGTCTCTCTGCGCTGGTTGGTGTAGGACACATGCTTTCTCAGGAGCACGCAGCTGCCGTTTCCGTCTGGTGTGCATTATAAAGCAGCGCGTTTCAGGAGAAGTGCGTTTTCCAAGCAGGAGGGGGGCTGTTTGAGATTCATCATGTCTAGTTCAGCTGTGTAGTGCATGACAAAAACGAGACATGTCAACAGTTGCTAATGAGAAGATGTAAAGCCATTCATCACGTCAGAGGAAAATAGGATAGGCGAGCTGGCAGCCCTTCTGCCAACTTACGGGGCTTCTTGCCAAGCGGGCAGCTGGGGGAGTTGGACCAGACTCTCTTGGAAGAACCAGTACTGAATTCTTGAGAAATATTTCTCCTTTCGAGAAAGTTTCAGATGCAACTTTTTACTTTGAGTCACTGTGAATTTTTGAGGGAATCTGAATTCTTCTGCTAAGTGGAATTTATGGTTTCTGAATGGTGATTAATATAAGTAGGAGTGACGCTCCGTTTAGACAGTTTGGGAAAAGTCCTGTTGCAAGGTTAGATAAGCAGAAGTAGGAAAGCAAACTTTTTTTTTTATATTGCCTTTTATGAAGTTGTATTTTTTTTACTTACACATGCTTCACAACGTCAGCTGAAAAGGTATTTAACTAGTGATTCCATTCAAAAGTTGTTTCAATCACAAAAGGATAGACTTTTCTAGGAAGTATTTTGTATTCATGAGAAAAACAAATGAAGATAGTTAACAACAGCCTTTGCTACACTTCTCTTTCTGTAGTTCAGAAGAGAATATATAAGTTCAGTAAGGAGGCATCAAAAGTGCTGATAAACCTACCAACCCAACAGAATAAATTAGATAAAGTGCAGGAATGTTAGAAAGGGGAGAGGAGAAGATAAACACTCCTGTTTATGGAAATATAGCATTTAGTCCATGGAATATGAGATTTTTCTTTTAAATATTCAGCTAGTCAGAATTACAGTCAGTCAAGTAAAATATTCACTCCTTATTTTGTGCTTTTGACTATAATTTAGAAAGACTGTTCAGGTACTTATTTTAATAATAGTCTGATCTAGTGCCGTAAATTCCACAACTAAATTGCTAACGTCAACTGAAAGTCAGTGGTTTCCAAAAAATAAAACAAAAACCCACTGTTTTTTCACGGGAGTGGTTGTGAAGCACTTTTCAAGTCAGAGAAGTTTCCGCTTAGCTACTGCACCACGAAAGGACTGCCTACATGATAATCAGGGAAGAGTGGTGTCTTGGCTGGTCTGGTGCTGGGTGACCAACTCAAAAGCCTGAAGTTCCAGACCAGGGTTTCAGTTCACCGCAAAAGCAGAAAACTGCTTAGGGGTTTCAACACCTGCTTTACTCAAGTCAGGCAAGTGAGATTGCAGATATGAATCCCCTTTCTTGATTCATACAGATCTATAGGCACAAGACACACCTGGGCAGCAGAACTTGCAAACAAGGAAATGGTTTTAATAAAAAAAGGTACACACCACTGTTACCATGATCATTTTACATCTGTATTTATTTGCTGTTATCTGCTTTAGAGATACTTTTATAGTGTAGACTCCTCCTGGCAATCATCTCGTGATACGGGGTGTTAGCACACAGAGCCTGCTGTGACGTGTGCCCTCTTAAAGCACTCTATGAAAAAGAATGGTTTTGGCTTTCAAAACCATTTGAAAGGTGAGAAAAATGCTCGCATACAGAAAATGAAATGGTTTCAAGCACTAATCAACCAGTAAAGCGTAAAGGAATTATACTCTGCGTAGCAATTCTGCTGCAGCTGACAGAGCAGATCAGGGCTGACACTTCTGAACCGTATGTACCCACGGTTACGTTACCACCACGGTCACATTTGGAGGTTTGCATTAGAGATCTTCTGCTGTAGGGTGAAGGTGCCTCTCCGCGCTGGACTGTGTCACCAGACATAGCGGCCGGTCAGACAGTACCCTGAGAGCGCTGGTCAGCACCTTCCATGGTGGAGGCAACAGTGCACATTTATATCGCAACAGAGTGGAAACAGTCTGTTGGACATCTTTACCGTTTTGTGGGAGGGAGCCTTGTCCTCCACACAGCCTCAGCTGTACTGAGGATGGGTGCTTGCTTCACTGGTACCTGAGAATTGTTGCCTGTTGTTTCTACCCTTTTCTTTTTTTCACATTTTTCAATTAGTGACTTGCAGCATTTGTTGCGTACTTTTAGGAAGTCCCTTGGCAAATTGTTTTAGCCTTTCTGGAAATAACAAGCTGCATGTAATTCAAAGGATTAGCAAATTAGAGCATCGTCAGAATGAGTTACAGAAATGACCTGTGTTCTCTAAGGCTTGCTTTTTTAATCCTAATGAGTGTGACTTAATCTTGAGGATATCAAGATATTCTTCAGTGTTGCTCTTTATACCGTACAAAAATACTAGCTCCCTAACCAAGGAAAGTTAATAAAGGGCAATTTTCAGGAGCAGGGCCTAGATTCAGTGTGGACATTTCAGCTGATCTGATGAGGACAGTGTGGTGGAGAGTGATGGAAGATTTGGGAGAGTTGAAAGAAGGAGCTGGGAGGGCTGGGAGCCAGGCTGGAACCGCAGGCCGAGAGGCAGCACACACACACATGCACCGTGCGAGCTGTCAGGCACATCCTGCTTGCTTTCTTCAAAGGTATGGTGCTGCTTAGAGGTAAGGGTGGAAAATGGATGCGAAACAGGTGGTGAGCTATTTATTATTGATTAAGTGTTGACAGTGTGCTCTGTGCTGTCAAAACACAAACCCATGTTTCTTTCCCCATGGACCTTCCTCCTAGATAAACGGACCAGTCAGACACAGAACGGTTCAGCAAAACAGCAGCGCACAGCAGCGGTTTATTAAAAAAGTGTAAAACGAAGCAAACAAACCAGCATTCTCTACAGAACAGACAAACACAGGATCATAGGAGAATTGGTATTTCAGATGGCTTTAATTGCTGGGTCTCAGCTGGTTTTCTGCCTGAACTAAAGAGTAGTTCAAATAAATAACATTATGCGTGCAGATTGCATGAAATGGTTTCACGTCTGTAATAATTATTTTCAAGATACTACCTTTTTTAAATTAAGCCTCTTTTGAGATGATATTTAGTGTGTATTTTTTTTGACTGAAAGGTAATAATCTTATGACATACATAAAAGCCAAATTTAGATAATCTAGCTTTAGTGGAGATGGTCTTTCAGATCTTTTTTTTTTTATCAGCCACTGGAGAGTTTCCTGTAAGATTTAAATCTGTGAGATAGCTGAGAAACTTTTTGCAAGTAGGCCACTTTCTAAACCAAAAAACTGCAATAACGATATTCAGCTCGATGCAGGGAAAATTGTATGTCCTCAACTATGCTGAGAAGTGTTAACTTTTTTTTTTTAAATGAGACAGCTCAGAGTTTGTACCGTTGTTGCCATGGGTTGGAGAGGATTGCTGCTGCAGTGCCTGTGCGCGACAGTACTGACCACAGGTTTATGCACCAATGTGAAGATCAGCTCCTAGAAAGGGCCTGCAGCTGTGAATCTTCTGTTACTAGGACCCACTTCTGTGTTGCAGAAAACGTAATGTAGAATAGTGTAATCTGACCTCTTTGAATATGTACGTCCTGAATACGTGATCCTAATAGCTGTGAAGATTGCTCTTTATTTTCTTGCAAAGAGCAGTAGCGTTATATGTATACACACACACGTGCACACACACATATTAAGTCATTCAGCAGTGCTCAGAGATTGCTGTTACAAATCTGATCTTACAATTCTCCCATTATACACATTCAAATAAAGATGAAGAATCCTATATTTAATGCAGGGTTTTTAATTATGTTGCGCCAGGAAAGGGGTCAAGATCCAAATAAAAGCTAGACAACTCTGAAAAAAATACTAAATTTCTTTACATTGGAGAAAAACGTTGCCTTTTCTAGAGCACCTGTAGTCTCGGTTGGTGTAAGAATAGCTTTGCGATGCTTTTTCCTGCTTCACTTTCCCTTGGAGCCGCTGAACGATGTTAATCCCATGCAAGCCCTTGCTGCTTGGATACAGGGTCTTCAGCTGCTGTTTGCTGCCATCTACCGTTTTAATTAGAAGGCTTAATGAGCTGGGCAGGAGCACGTTCACACTGGCAAAGAGCGGGCTAGCTGCTGTGGGGGAGAGGGGGCAAACAGTAGCGTAGCTGTTCCGTGAGGTTGCTGGGCTAAAACCTGTACCGGTGAGGGAGCCACAGCGGTTTCGTTTCAACACCAGTCAAACCAGCAAACGACATTTTTTTTCCAAAAAAAATAATTGAAAGGGTCTGTTCTTGCCTCAGCTCCAGGAAAAACCACCTCAGCTCCTTACAGAAGATTATTGTAAAATAGGTTTTACAGGACATTCCATTACTGCTTGGGTAGGAGGGGGCGAGCTGCTGAATTGCTCACATTTTATTCTTAATGTTCCTTTTTTTTAGGCTGGTACACTTAGAATGCATTATTGTTTATTTCAAGTTAGCTATCAGTTTTTGTAAAGAACAAAAGTTAAGATAATAATTTTTTTCTATTTTTCAGCTGTTTGTTGGTCTTGGATTTCCGTATGAAGGGCCAGCTCCTTTAGAGGCTATTGCTAATGGCTGTGCTTTTCTAAATTTAAGATTTAATCCACCAAAAAGCAGCAAAAACACAGAGTTTTTCAAAGGCAAACCTACACTCCGAGAGGTAAGCTTTATCAGTATTGGTAATTTCTTTACTAAAAATGAGTGTGGATTTCTTTTTAGTGACACAATGTAGGAAAAATTGCATGAATGTTCACAGTTTATTGCAAAAGATGTGCAACTGTCATTTTCTTTAGCCATTGATGGGATTATCAGTCCTTATTTTTATAAGATAATCAACATTTTTAATTAATATACTGTTAAGCTTTACCTCCAGATTTGCCAATATGTTCATTCTGCTGATTCTTGTTGATAGATCATAAACTGAAGCTTCACTTGGAAACCTGATGTTCTGCCCAGAGCAGATCATCTCATCTGATACATGATGTGTCATTTGAAAGCAGTTTTATTTTGTTGAAGAAATAAACATTAATGTGACCTGTGCAGGAAGTACATAGGTGTTTAAATAAATTATAAAGATGCCATTTGTCGGTGGTTGTGTGTGTTTTGGGGAAATGTTTTTTTCTCCAGAAAAGACCTGCTCAAGGCCCTGTTGAGCTAAGGTATTACTGGTCACAGACCCCCATGGTGGTGGCTTAACACTGAAGGCATTTGGAGAACTGACTCCTGAAGACAACAAGAAAACCAAACCTCAAGCTTTCACAACAGCCAGTGTGTTTAGAGTCTAGTAAGAAAAAAATGAGGCAAAGTAAACTAGCCCCTCATCCTGGCACTGGCTTTGGAATATTTTTCTTATTTGGTGTAGGTAAAATTCAGCCTCTACCTCTTGCAAGCATTGAACAGTCCTGTAGGCATTTCTGACATTAGCACTTTTGCCTGTGCCCGTGGCTTGTTCAGAGGTGTGTATACAGGTTTGCTTTGCAGACTCATCTGAAGGGAAGGCTCTCTTGTAACACTTAGATGATGAGAACTTTGCACAGCCATATTTCCCAATTCAAGTGACGCTTGGGCTATATAAATTGCATACTGAGCAGCTCCAGCTAGTTGATAAGCAAAAGATAGTTTCCCATTGTAAACCAGGAACATAAATTCCGTATGATTTTATGATCCAGAACTGTAATTGCCTTGCAGCTTGTTACACATTCAGCTTGTACAGGGCAGGAGTTCAAACTCACCCCTTCTCACAGCATACATTGCTAACAAGGGAGATAGCAATAAGGGAGAAAAAGTCTGTTTAACCTTTCTTCTTGGGCTTGTCACCTTGCAAAGCTTTTCTTCTGTGGTTGCTCGACTGTTTGTCTCGTTTCCAGTTGTTCTGTGTCCACACACTGTAACTGGTCAGACTCAGTAAATAATCTGGACCCACTTGACTCTTTAGTAAGAATTTTAGTGCTTGGAATGCCGTGCTAAATCCCACTGGCATGTGTCAGCGCTAACAGAAATTGTGTGCACCTGACTTGCACAGAAAAATAATCCCTGTTGACTGCTGTAGTGCAAAATAATACAATGAACGTTCATCCCGAATATTGCTGCGCTCACATGCTCTGCTGACCTAGCCTAAGAGTAAACTTTTCTCTAACTGGTTTTCACAGCTGCTCTTAGATCCGGTTGCCAGTAATCCATGTGCTGGTTCCCGGGGATTAAGAAAGTCCTCAAATCTCTCTCTAAGTTTTTTCAAGTGTTAAAGGAGAACAGAAAAAGCTTGTGTAGTTCTGCGAACTGATTACCAGTACACCAATTTGCAGATAAAGTCTGCGTTTAGTACTTTTGGAAAGTAACTATTGCAAGTTTCTCTCTTGCTCTAGGTAGGAGCAGCTTGTTCTGTACTGATAGTTGTACCAGTGTTTCTTCTCCATTCCCCCCTCCCCTCCCAAGAAAGAGAACGTTGTATGTTAAATCTAGTTGAAGCGTGTACTTGATGGTTGTGGTTGCTTTCATCATCTGCTTTTAGGAAGGAAAAAAAAAAATTACCTCAAATAAGAAATTAATTCCAAATCTATTTATAAGAATTTTTATGGATTTTCATTATAGACTGAGGGAATATCTCCTGAATAGCTAAAACATTAAGACTCGGCTAATTGAAGCGTTTCAGTATTAGGAAATAGTCTTAATATTTTTTGAGAGCATAGATGTAGAATAACTGGAGCAACAAAAATACGTTGCTAGTTACTCTTAATACTTACGACACCTGCTAGTGTGAGAAGTTTAGTTGTTCGTCTTCCAGATCAGATCTGGCTTTAATGTTGCCATCTGTCTGTCTGAGATGGTACAGAAAGAGTGGTCTAAGGCATGATTCCTATAGCCTGGTGGAATTTAAAACACTGCTTGATGTTCATGTTTTTAAAGGCACAGTGGAAGGGGTTTTGTTGTTACTGAAAGCAAGAGGAACATAGCTTCTGCCATCTGAAGTCCAGGCATAAGTGCCATGGGAGCTCAGTCTTGGTAACCAAATTTTGAAGGACATATAGTTTTAGTGGCAGTAGAAATGCTTTTGAAAAAAGATTAGAATAAGTTAGTGTTTGTGAAGCAGTGGACTTTTTGGAGGAATTTAAAATGCCGATGGGGTCGCAGCGCGGTGGGCTGCAGGTGGATGTCGGCAGCTACGGAAGCTGTCTGTGTGCAGAAGTGTCCGGAGCTGCCGGCCCAGTGGCGGGGCACAGGCTGGCGCTGCCTGAGCCCCTGTGTAACTGGAAGACTGGCTGCTCTTGTCCACAAGCAAAAGGCAATAGGCAAAAAATTTCTGATGTAGTTTCTTGCATTCGTTGAGTAAGAAAGCGAGTGTGGTGTGTGCCCAGTGCAGGAGGAGGCTCTTTCCAACAGATGCTGTTTCCTACTTTAGATCTTTTGCACAGACTAGATTTTTCATTGTATCATGCATAAAGAGGCAGCTGTATAAAAATTGTCTATGAATCATCTATCCTGTAGGGTCTTTTTTTATTGATTTAAAAAGCAATTGTCTTCTGAGCCCAGTGTGAAATGCTCCCTTCTCTATTGCAGCTTTTGCTTCCGCTCAGTGTGCTCGTTTGCGTGTTCCTCTCGCTGCTGGGCAACCTCTCACAAAAATTACTGTTAGTGCCATCCTGCTAGTTCAGAAAGCAATCTCTGATAGAACTTTCCTTAGTTATCTGCTTGGGTATTTATTGAATTTGTTTGCTCACAAAGTGGTGAGCAAAATACCGGTTAATGCTCTTACTGAGGTCAAATCATACAATCACAGAATGGTTTGGGGTGGAAGGGACCTTAAAGACCACCCAGTTCCAATCTCCTGCCATGAGCAGGGACACCTTCCACCAGACCAGGTTGCTCAAAGCCCTGTCCCACCTGACCTTGACCCCTGCCGGGGGGGGAGCAGCCACAGCTTCTCTGGGCAACCTGGGCCAGGGCCTCACCACCCTCATGGTGAAGAATTTCTTCCTTAAATCTAAACTAAACCTGCCTTCTTTCAGTTCAAAGCCATTACCACTTGTCCTATCCCTACATGCCCTTGTAATAAGTCCCTCTCCAGCTCTCTTGCAGGCCCCTTCAGGTACTGGAAGGCTGCTCTAAGGTCTCCCTGCAGCCTTCTCTTCTCCAGGCTGAACAGCCCCAACTCTCTCAGCCTGTCCTCACAGCAGAGGGGTTCCAGCCCTCTGATCGTTTTTGTGGCCTCCTCTGGCCCTGCTCCAACAGGCCCATGTCTGTCCTGTGCTGAGGGCTCCAGAGCTTGATGCAGGACTCTTGTACCATTGGCACTGAGAGTCAGAATTCATCCTAAGTGATAGAAATGATTCTTTATTCACTACTACTCACAGAAGCTTGGGAATTTTTGAAATTTGAAGGAGAGGCAGGGCGAGGACATTGTCAGAAGGTGAGACAGGGTAAGGATGACATCTCTTGAAGGCAGTCACACAGGTCTAACCGGGACTAGTAGCAATTACGGGTTGTGAAAAGGGAGCGCTGCTCTGTGAATGAGCTGTGGGGAAGCGGGGTCGCGTTGGAAAAGTGATTTCAGTAGGTATGAAGTCTTCTGTGATGTGGGTCATTATGACGATCAAGTCCACAAATGAGACGTACACAGATGTCACTTATGATCTGCATGTTTATCTGATTTTCAGTTTTCCAACTAAATTTACTCTCTAAATTGAAATGGAGAACATCTGAAATACAACTCAGAAGGAATGATGCTGACTGTTAGATTTTAGCTGAATTCTTGCGTTATCCTAGTGCAGGGGGGGTGGACTAGATGACCCACAGAGGTTCCTTCCAAACCCTACCATTCTGTGATTTTATCCGAAAAGTCGGATGAAGAGAGTGAGAGGAAAGGATATCTTGACAAATTCATTGTTACTAATATAATTTCTTCCTTTCAGTTGACGTCTCAGCATCCCTATGCTGAAGTTTACATCGGCAAGCCCCATGTCTGGACTGTAGACATCAATGATCTTTCTGAAGTTGAGAAGGCTGTGAAATCAATTTTGAATCAAAAGGTGAGAAACAGATCCTCAATTTGTCATCAGCACTTGAGGGTGTGTTGTGCACTGCATGTAGAGTGCTGCCTAATACTAATCTAATTACAGCAGAGTGCTGCCCTTTGGTAGGATATTGAGGGGGAGGAAATTGTTGTTACATCTCTGTGGTATCTTGACTATCATGTTTTAGTACTGGTTATGTCAGGTTTTTAGCTGAAAAAAGGGAGTGTCTATGAATTTGTATAGAAATGTGAATTTCATATCTACATTATACGGCAGTCTGTATTTTCTGTGCATTCAGTGAGGAAGTTTCCTTGTTGACTCTTGGGTATTGTGGGCTGTCCAAATACATGCTCAACTCTTCTGACTGATTTTGTAGCCTTGACATAACCACCACTGAAGTGCTCGTGCACTTACAGCCTGGAATTGTAATGAGGGCACTTCAAGGGGAATAAAAAAAATGTTCAGAGTAATTTTCAAAGGTATCACATTCTTTTTTGTCATAGTGTTTTCTTTTTCACTTCAACTCCAGAACTGAAACTTAGTTAAAACAGGAGCTCTGGAATCCCGTAGGGTCTCAGGCGAGCTTTGTATCTGTTACTTTGCAGTATAGCCTAAGTTTCCTTAGGGATAATCCCTGAGAAACTTTTATTGCCTTAACAAAGGAGCAAAAATCAGCTTAAACTGCTGATGGTTTTGTGAACTTGTGATTTGTTAAGGAGTTTATTTGCATTTATTGTTGCCACTTAATCTGTGATGTGGTATTCGGAATGCAAGCTGCTGCCACACAGCGCACCACAGCGTTCGTTTAAACAAAACCCCCTCTAACCTGAACACACTGTGTTTCCACAGATTGACCCGTATTTGCCCTATGAATTTACGTGTGAGGGGATGCTGCAGAGGGTGAATGCATTTATTGAAAGACAGGTATGAACTTTTATTGTGGATGAATCCTTTATGTTGGAAAGGGAGGACCACCTCCGTTTTAAACCTTCTTGATGTTGTTGCCATTCGAGTAGAAACAGTAGCTGTGCAGTCCTTGTCTGGCCAGTGGTTTGCTCAGATGAAGCTCCCTTGGGAGGTCCGCGTGGACTCAGGGATTCACTTCTGTGGACTTGCCCATGTGGGGCTTGGGAGGCTTCTTCCAGATACGGCACCAGGAGGATTTTTCGTGTGTAAAGAGACTGGAAATTCTGCAAAGTGCTGGCTGCCAGAATATTCATTCTGCTTCTCAGGTTGCTGCTGGTCTCTGATTCATCTGGGAGTGATTTACCGTATGTCTGTGCAAAAACAGATACACTTGTCTGAATTTCAGGAGCTATAGGAGCTTTTAAATGATTTCTTATTGATTGATTATTTGATTGATTGATTTACAAGGACCATTCCTTCCTCTGCTGTTATATCAAATGCAGAAAGGCAAAGTAATTTTTCAGTGTATATGTGACTTCTTTAACTGTGTACACACAAAAAAGTCTTTGGATCGTGAAGCATCACGTGAATATAGAGACACTTTTGTGGTAGAATTGCACTTAGGCTAAAGCCTCTGGGTGGATTTTTCAAGTATTTAGTTTCAATCAATAAAGCTTTAAATGGTTTGGAAACCAGTCACTTAAAGGAGTTTTGGTGCCCATACATTACTGCCAGCTGAGAGCAGCAGAAGATACTGAGCTGGAGTAATAAACTGCAGAGATTTGTGTGGGATCCTGATATCTAGAAACTCTGTGTTTGCTTGGATTTCTGCCCAAGGCCAGATCTGTTGCAACGGCCAGCGCTGCCTTTTGTTCTGGCTGCTGCAAAGAGAGATAGGAATAACCTCTATCTCTGTTACGCCAATTAACTTCCAGGATTGCTTTCAAAAGAAGCACATGCTCCTGTACTTGTATTTCTGAAAGAGGACAGTGTTACAGACAGCAATAAAGAAGAACGCAGCTTCAGACCAGGAGTGTAGTTAACATAACATCGCCATTTCCAGGTTCCTGCCAATAAACCCTTTATGCTGCTGTATTGATGACACAGCCTGCAAAAGTATCGCTGCGTCTTTGGATTCTGCTGCCTCAGTTAGCAGTAATTGGGAGTTTGGGGCAATACAGGAAGAAATGGACCTCAGCATAAGGGAGAAGAAGAGACAGGATAGCATCTGTGGGGTGAAAGTCTCTCTACCCTCTTGCCCTCCCCCAAAGGCCAAGCCCTGCCTGTGTCTCGGCGAATAGAGAATTGTCATTTTGTCCACTGTTTTGACTAATTGTCAAAAGCCATTATTGTTTCACAGCCCCTGGATGCTCAAGCATCATTATTAGCTGCAGGTGCTTAGCATTGTGCCTGATTAACATGGCAGATGAAGCAAAAACAAAGGCTGAGACCTTAATTTGAAGAGCTTGTGGTGGGAGGCAGGCAGAACAGAGAAAGCAGCACAAGCCTGGAACAGGAACAAAGATGCGTGGGGTTGATCTGGTTCAGAGGCTGTGGGGTGCATTGACCACCAGACTGTGGTCTTCAGGGGATGTTTGGTTGTGGGGAGGGTGAGGCCAGATACCCTCACCCAGAAGTCACTCTATGGGAGAGTGCAACTGCAGGATTTATAGGAGTTGTCTGGAGTGCCCCTTCTGTTGCCGTGGCTCAGGAGCAGGAGGGAGGACAGTGTTCACAAGAAAGGTTTAGTGAATTCCCCAAGTCTCCAGATCCAACAGCCGGGCTGAAGGTCTTTAGGGTCTGAAGAAAGAGAACTACGGAGAGCTGTGGTTTCACGTTTAGCAGTGCCGCCTTCTTCAGCCGTGTTATAACCGGTTTCACGCCAAGCGGCTCCTTCCTCCCCCTGTGCTGCCCCTGCCAGCGGCCCAGTGCAGCTCCTGGGTGCATCTGTGCCATCTGCTGAAGCCGTCCCTTGATGCTGGTTGCTCTTCAGCTGCGCAAAGAGTTGTGTCAGCTCCACAAAGCTTTGGTGGGAACCAAAGGGTGTGGGAGGAGCAGTCAGACAAGTGCAGCTGAAGCAGCTGCAGGATTCCCTGTTGCAAATGTGGGAGCTGTTGGGTGAGGCAGACCAGGCTGATGGAACAGACACGCTGGCTGTGAATGCTGTGGTCAAGCGGAGCTCTTGGTAACCCGGCAGAAAATGTTTTTGGTAGGGCTCTACTGGGCTGGCAAACTGATGTGGCTCAGCAGAGGGTCAGCTGGATGCCAGAGCTTGGCAGAGGGAGTGGAGTGAGGACGTTCACCCAAGAGCAGGAGAAGGCAGAGGGAGGAGGACACCTCCTGTGACAGCAGGGCTAAGCCTGTCTCACCTCAAAACTGTGGTTATAGGTAAAATAGAAACACAGTCTCTGGTGAAACTTAACCTTCTGTTTTACATGATGTCTTTTATTTATTTTCCCCTTATGCATGTAGGCTTGTGGGGCAAGTTAGGCTGGGATGAAGGTACCAAATTCAGGTTGCTTTTGATGGTTGGTAGGAAAACTAGATGGAGACAGCAAATAGAAACACAGCCTTGTGCACTGGTACCTGTGAAGGTGATGTGCTCTGAGACATGCTCCAGGGTGGCATAAGCTGAGGAACGCTTCCCACCAAGCTATGGACTGGAAATGGGAGGCTGTGCCCAGTATTTGGGAAGAGTTTTCAGCTAAGGGATGTTAAAAGCTGAAGCCCCCAGCAAATGTTGGAGCCTCACAAGTGATTCGCTGTCTTTGAAAAACTTTTGTCTTCTGCCTGCACTAGCTCTGAATCCAATCCTATGTTACAGTATTATATAGATTACATTACTATATATTACAATATTATATAGTATATGTTACAGTATTGGATTGGATTTTGAACCTATATGGGTTTTTCCCACATCTAGTATTTTAAATACTGGTTTATGAAAGGAAAGGATAAGCAGGGCACTTAAGTCCAAATAGCAAAATGATCTTTTTGAAACAACCTCATTAAAAAGTACATCCAACTGTCTATTGTTAACCTGGTTTTTTAGAGGCTGCTGAAATTATTCTGCCATAAATATGCTCTAAAATTATTCATTTTTTTCTAATATGGCACGAGGGAATGGCTTAGAGCTGCATCAGGGGAAGTTCAGAATGGATATTGGGAAAAAGTTCTTCACTGAGAGAATGGTCAAGCACTGGAAGAAACTCGCCAGGGAAGTGGTCGTGGCCCTAAGCCCGTCAGTGTTCAAGAAGTGTTTGGACAACTGTCTTAGACATATGGTTTAGCTTTTAGGTTGCCCTGTGTGGAGTCAGGAGGTGGACTCTGTGATCTCCCTGGGTCCCTTCCAACTGAGGATGTTCTGTGATTCATGATTGTATAATATGAAAGTTATGGTTAGACCTGGGAGTACGAAAACTTCCTCCTTCAGCAGAGGAAATCTAAACAGAGAGAAAAAACACCAAACAGATTTCGGGAACCTGTACATGATTTGAGATCTTAGCTTCATTAAAATTTCAAGTAGTTCAGCCTTTCTAAGCTTTAGGTCACAGTGTGGGACCTGTTCGTACAAGTGTTAGTTTTGCCAGGAGAAAGCAAACCAGGATGGACTGGGCCCAAACTTTTTGATCACCTTCAGATGAGAGTTACCAATTCTTAAAATAATGGCTGAGTACCATGGAATGTTGTATAAAACAGCGATTAGAAATTTCTCTTTCCTTTTTCTCATTTTAAATGTCAAGGCAATAAGAACTTGCCTTTGACCAGTTCTCTCTAGCAGGTGTGTTCAGATGTTGCTTCTTCCCTTTTTCCGCTGTGGTGACGCTTGACTTGCATGCATGATTTGTAGCCTTTTTTTTCAGTGTCAGGAGAGCACTGTCACTAGCAGTCCAACCAAGACAAGCAAACAAACTCTTTGAATCCTGGTTGCTTTATAGAAATCTTCAGTCTTTTATGAGTTCGGCTCACTCTGTAGCGCCACGAGTCCGCTGATCCTTTCCAGATGGCTCTGCACGTGGGCCACTGGAGACATTTCTTGCCTACAGGGTAACTGGCCTCTGGAATTCTCCTCCTACCAGAACTCCCTACTGGTATTTGTGCTGTAACAAAAATAGTTCTGCTAGCACTGGGTTGGTGAAACAGGAGTCACCGAGAAAGCCCAAAAGGGGTTGGATATGTGAAAGTAAAGAGACTAGCTAGAGTTGCTTATGATGAATTGAAAAAGGTAAAGGTAGGGAAGAAGCTTCTTTGGGAAGAATGATACCACTGGATTTCAAGTAGCAATCAAAGGTGATAATTCCCTCATGCTAAAAAAATAAAAAAATCTTTTTAAATGTGCTTAAATTACTGATTTTCATACAACTGAAACAATCTGCAAAACCAGTTTTTGGGTGATAATAACCACTTATTTTACTACTGGGGTAAACTGCTGTCAAGGAACTGGATGCATCGTAATAAAATATGATCTGTCACTGCAGGATTTCTGTCACGGGCAGGTGATGTGGCCCCCATTAAGTGCCCTTCAAGTGAAAATTGCTGAACCTGGAAAATCCTGTAAACAAGTTTGCCAGGAAAGCCAGCTCATCTGTGAGCCTTCCTTCTTCCAGCATCTTAACAAGGACAAAGCGCTGCTTAGGTAAGTACATCAAAGCACAAACATGTTACTTGGTCTCTTTTTATTGCACTGGGCTGTGCCACACCTGAAGTTTAGTGTACGAGTCCTGTGAGCAGGGAGGGTGGGGAGAGCAGAGCTGTCCGCGGGGCAGCAGCGAGCTCTGAGGTTAGCTGTCAGTCCTGCGCAGCAGTGGATGGCAGCAGTGACTGCTGCGTTGAGCGCGCCGTTCCGCGTAGCGTGGGGTTTTGCAGTGAGGAGCACAGCACCCAGGCCAAAAATAAATTTACATCTCTTCCTTCCCCCCTGTATCTGCTACGTGCGTGCACCATGCAGTGCCCTTTGATGTTGGGTTGCTTCCACGGAGCAAAGACGCTTCTGCCGCCGGGGTCACAGATGCCAGGGCTGTGACTGCGTTTGGGCGCACCCTGCGCAGCCTGGCAGGTGCACGGTTCTGTGGCTTTTGCCCTGCGCTCTGAGAGCCGGCGAACTTGCGTGACCTAGTGCTAATCCCAGCTGTGCCCAGTCAGCTGGGTCAGAAACGAGATGCGTTTTATTGCAGGAAATAGAACTCTGTACACAGGGTGCGATATCTATCAGTTGTCCTCATGATTTTAAATACAGCACTTAGAAAGTGTTGCTTTGCCTTTTTTGAGCTCCCTCTTCCGTCACCATTAACATTCGTATTGAAACAGCGATATTCGTTGGCAGTTACCAAGTACTGTTTCTGCAAACCTTTTGTCAGGGTTGTGCTAGGTAAAGAATTGTAAACCCTTGTACATCAGAGCTCTTAGTACTGATTTATAAAGCTTGCCAGCTATGCATTAAGACAATTAATGTCGCTTTCAGGTGCTGTCTCTCTGGGAATACACCTGTGTTCCTTCCACAATGAAAACAAAGCACTGAAAGCTGGGCTCCCACAAGTGGCTGCTAGGGAAACTGCTTCCTAGGTTTTCTATCTCCACTTTTTTGCTAAACTAAATTGTAGAAGGTTTTTATTTTTGTGTTTTGTTTAGGAAGTTGTAATTTCTCCTGGAGTTCAGAAGTAGCGCATGTGAAAACTTTGTCAGGCTTCTTTTCTACCTGTCCAGGCAAAAAAATATGCTGAAAGCTACCAGTGTTTCCAGAATAAGTGAAAAACAACTCCTCTGCTGCAGTTGCTACCCTTGTCCTTAAGGTTTGTGGTCAGAAAATGGCAACACCGTATTTTCTCTTTTCGGTTCCTCAGGGCAGTGGGTCCCGCGCTGACCAACGTTGCTGTGCTACAACAGCCCTGTCCCAGTCCCCGTGGTTTGGCTGACCACCCCTGGGGCTACCCCGGGCTCCACGGCACAGTGTTGCTTGCCTGGAGGAGGTCTCTGCTGAAATCAGTGAGAATATCTACTGATTTCAGATGCTTTGGTTTTGCCTTACAATAAATCCATGGTGTATTTAAACACTACGCTTTGGGGAACAGCTGAAAGCGGTTTTTTTCCTTTTAAAGTTCTTCCATTAATCTTTCGGAAACAGAGTAGAGCTGGAGAGGCTGTACTGCCCTCTGCAGAGAGCATCTGCGCAGGCGAAAGAAGGGAAGAGTCATGTTCTGGGAATCTGCAATTCTAAATGCACTGGACTTAGGGTGTAATATAACATTTCATTTTATTTTTAGCAAGGAAGGATGAAAACTGTACCAAACCTCCTGTAAACTCCCCTGTGATTTACATCGTGTGCTTTGCTTTTTAGGCATAATATCGAATGTCTCACCATGGAGTCTGCAAACGATATCCTGGTCCCTTCTTTTGATGGAAGAAGGAAGCACTGTGTTTTCCAAGGTGACCTCTTATTGTTCAGCTGTGCCGGATCCCACCCAGCCCACAGAAGAATCTGCCCCTGCAGAGACTATATTAAGGGGCAGGTTGCGCTGTGTAAAGACTGCCTATAGCAGCCGCAGAGCTTCTCTTGAGTTGAGGACAAGACGTGAGTAGTTTTGAGAGGAGCTACTTGCTACTTCCTGCACTTTGGTCCAGGGTTTTTGCTGCAGGCAGAGCTATCGTTGCTGGGCAGAATTATCTACTAAGAGAGGAGGGATTCGTAATACACAGCTAACTGATCTTTTTTCCTATAAGAACATTTGCAGTGTAACTCTTCAGATTCCTTCATCTATTTGCAAAGAGAAATGAGTTTCATGTTCTACGGTGATTTGGAGATGACTGCGCAGAATAGTTTGTAGAAAATTCCCAGACCCATCAAACTTTTTTTGTTGTTGTTTGGGTGAAGTGATTTCTATTTTTTTAATGAGTTAGGCCATCCCCCATCGCGGTTAGCTAAGGGATCTCAACTTCATTCCAGTAGAACATGGACAAAAGTGTGCTTTTAGGTCGCAGGGGAGGGAGGACTAGCGTTTCATTCTAGGTGCACTGTTTTGGGTAGTGCTTTAGCTTGAATGGCTGTAAAGTGGTTTACTTCACAAGATCGCTCTGTACCCTGTTAGTGGGTTATCCGGGCCCAGTTCTTTTCTTCTTTTACTTTTTTTTTTAAATCTTTTACAACAAGTTATTGTCCGCATCACAGCTGCTGGTCAGAGCAGTCTAACCAGAGAGTATCACGCGTGAGCAAACAGGCAGTTGCCAGCGTGCGACACATCAACTTGGTGACCGACACCGGACTGGGGCTGTGGCATTCTGCAGCGTGGAAAAGCCACAGGAGCATCCTGCCGTTCTCGGAATGGACTGGTCACAGTCTGCTGGTCCCATTTAGAGAGTCATCCTTGGAATTTGCCCATGCTTCTGTTGTCGTCTGTCTACTAGAAATACTGTGTGAAGCAACAAGTATTCAGCATCATCGGAGCAATATTATCGTTAGAGCCTCAGTTTGCTACAGCTTCCAGTAGTTAAAGTGTTGCTGAATGACATAGAGAGGTTAAACTAAGCTAACTATAATTATTGTATGGTAGAAATGTAAAATGTCTTCATAACTAGATAGATTTTTAAAGAAAAATTTTTTCTGAAGAACAAGTAAGAGGAGACAACTGCTAAGAAAAGCAATGATCAGTCTCGTGGGTTTTGGAGTGTTTATTTTGTGGCAGGCACACCAGTTACAAATTTAGAAAAATACCAGAAGTTTGTAATTCAAATCAAACTTTTTTTTTTTAGAGTAGCACATTGAATTTTCTAAACCACCTTCTTCTCGTAGAGGTAATTTTTGTTACTTTCTGCAGACGGCAGCATGCTTGACAGCACCGTTGGTAGCCAGGAAACGATATGCTGAGATTAGTGAGAAACAAATCTGCGGCGTCTTTTGAACGCCGTCATAGTCGGCAGGTTTGCAGTTTGGACGTACTCTGATCATACTGGAACAAAACTCAAATCAACGTGAAGGTTTTTTTCAGAAAGATTGAGAAACATTACCAGATAATAGTGAAAAGCATAGATATTTTAAATTTTCCTTTCTCTGTTATGGCTGGTTGGTTCAGATTTTTCTCGTAGCCGGCATTCATTATCTGTGTGTGAATATTGATGTATCTCTTGACCTACCAAAGACCAAGCGAGGGAAATGCTATTTAATCTTGGACAAATTCTCCAGACAAGAGAACAGAACAGTACACGTTTAAAGTTTCAATTTAAAAGCGACAAATTAGCTTTTTTGAGTTTTTTGTTTCCTGCCTCGATACTCCTGACGATGTTGCCCTGTAACGCTCCGTGAGGTTGCTTTGGACTACAGTGCACAGGAACCTAACGCTGAGAGTCCGTCTCCAAAAAGGGCGCGAGGGAGCTGTTGAACAGCAGGGTCACCAGTAACTGGGTTGTGATGATGGTAAAATCTGCTGTATTTTAGAGTAATTTTCCAGAAACAGAACAGCTGGGTTCTATAATGGGAGACAAACTTTATGAAAAGAAAACAAACACAAACTAGTATGAAAACCTTTACTGTTACCATAGCTCAGCATTTGCTTCAGTCAGCGCAAACGTAGTTTGCAATAGTTTTAATACCCTGGCAAAGCTGGGGGAGGAGGATTGGAAACGGCTCTAAGCAGGCGCAACAATTCATTTTGTATTTGTATAAAATATTCCCCGCCTGCTTGTGCATTTTTGTGCAACTGGAAGATCCTGCGTATTAAAATATATACACTTATAGCTGGTGCTGAAAGTAAAGGCAACAGCAGAATCTGCCTTTACCTGCTCAGCCTGAGGTTCTTCAGGCAGGAATTTAGTTTGGAATGAGATATCACGGAATTACGTCAGAAACAAAGATTTGTATGTGTGCACTTAAAGAAGGCAAAACACGTAGGTTTTGCAGTAGTGTAATTCTTTGCTGTAAATACCCATTTGCTTGTTTCCTCCCCACTGTATGGTCCACACAGCATACTGCATTTTACTTTGCCTCTAAAGCTCGACAGATGGGAGGGGTTTGGTGTTTGTTATTATATGATTTTCTGGTCTAGTGCTTTGCTCAGTGCTAAGTTTGCCTTTGCCACAGCAGGGACAGGCTGTCGTAAGCTTGTTACCCTGCTTACCCGAATTACTGCGCACTGGCAAAAAGGAAACCGCAAACACCAATGCCGCTTGCATTTCAGCCAGGGGCAGAACATCTAAATTGGCATCAGAATCGGCTGGGTCTGATGCGATTCCCACTGAGATCTCTAAAGAAGACTCATTAATCTTAAAGAGAAAAGAATCAAGACCTATAATTTGATAGGCGTCTGTTATTAATTTTAAACTCTCTGGTCAGAAGAAATATTACTTCTGTGAAACACAGCTTCAGTCTGCATTTCTGTAAAAGGAGACTGCCGTGTGAGAGCTGTAAGTGCATAACCTTTGCCAGCGCTCCTGGCTGCGGGCGATACAGCCCCCAGCGCACAGCAGCTCTGCGCCTGCCGTGCTGGCGCGGTGAATCCCACCACAGATAAGCACTCCGGCAAATGCGGGTGGGACTGCTGAAAAGTTAGAATGATTCACTAAAACATGTGCTCTGTACCCACATCTCAGGATAGAGGGCAGCCATCTGTCCCAGTTCCGTAACTGTTTTCCTTCCTAATTAAAGAATAGAGGTGTAGTCCAATTATTGCACTTAAACAAGGGTATTGGAGATGGGACTGTGCTGCTGTTTGCAGTCTGGCAGCAAAGCTTGCAGCTTCCTTTACTCAGAAATCAGGTTCTTGCATGACTTGCATTTGAATATATTGATCAGCAGTTGGTGGGAAAAAATGTCAAAAGTGGAATATAAAAACATTTTACAAGCTTTTAAACGTATCTCTCATATCAAGACATTCTGTATTTTAAAATTTTGTATTTTTGTATGTGACCTAGTTTTTTTCAAAAGCCTTGTTCCTATGAGATTAGAAAACTTGAGAGAAGCATTTACATATTTATTAAAATTAACATAAAAGGATTGCCTTTGAAAGGTAAAGTTGGTAAATACACACTGTTTAAAAATGCCAATAAAAACCTCATTTATTTCATATATGCAAGTTGATTTGCACATGTATAAATAGAGTTGCTTCTTGCATTTTTTGCTTAGTTTCTATGTTTCTTTTTGTAATTTATAGTTGCAGCTGTGTGTTTGCTTGTTTATATCGGATTATGTTTCTCCTACAAATATTTAATGTTTATGTGCCTTTTACTTTCTTGGGGGTTTGGTAGAGTGTCTGGGATAGGGACACTGTCTGAACAAGTATAATGGAACACTAATTACAGGCAGAAGTAGTGCTTGATGGCTATACAGCTTAGCGGTATGAGTTTTTGAATGTTTTTAAGTAGTGGGGAAAAGTGTTCTAAAACTAGAAGGTAAGGGTTAGTAAGATAAAAGATACTATAACCTTAGTGATTCTTGCAAAAAAGTTGCTTCTGCGAGCAAAATACCCTTTACTGATTCTCTGTGATTTGGCATGAGAGCTCCTGCCGGGGTGGGATGTGTGGTTAAGGACCAGAGAGCAAACGAAAGCCGTTGCGTTCCCCAAGGAGACGACGCTAAGGGCAAACGTCCAGCGAGGTCGGCGGGGGAACCGGAGAGCCACGGCAGCGCTGGCCAGGGCTGGCGCGCTCGGATGGAGACGTCTGTGCCTGGAGGTGAGCGGGGCAGCGCCTGGTGCCGCCGGGACGATGCAGTCCCTTCATGATACCTGAATTCACAGCTCTCCATGGGGAGGGAACGCTGGACGTTCAGCTTAGTGGAGCAGTTTTTAATGCTACTGCTTTTCTGCAAGAAGAATATTTTGCAAAATAGCTGCTGGTTGGGATTCAGTTGGAGATTGCAGGACGGGGGTCTCTGCGTCATCCCCGCTCAGCTCTGCTCCCAGCTGCTTGTGCCGGCTTTTGCACCTCGCTTCTTGACGAGCATTCCGACTGGCGGAAAGTTCCTGTTGATACCAGCCGCAAAGCAGACTGCTGGCTGATGTCTGCTCTCCTCGCTCAGTCGTGTTGTACTGCTGTGCTTTGATATCCTCACCAGTGTCCTCGCTTTGTCCGTGATATGAAAGATGTGCCCTCCCCACTCAAAAAGGAGCGGTCCATCTAAATTACAAAGGTGATTTACGAGTTTGCAGCACTCTCCACGTAAACAAAATCCAGCTTGCTTGCTCAGGTGTGTATTTTGCTCGTAGTGCATTTCAGGACCGGATTTTGCTAGTAAAATAAATTAAGTGGGACGAATCAGGCTGGGTACAATCTCATCCAAGTCTAATTAACTTCACGACTCCCACTGGCTTCAGTGATAGCAGAACTCCTCCATTAATTTTTCTTCAAATTAAAAAAGCACTCTCCCTTTTTAATAAATGTTAAGCACTGTATCTTACAAGATAAAGACCAAACCCTTGCAGTTTATATTGTACACATATCAGCAACCAGTTTTGCTGTTACAGCATATATCATCTCTGGCTGAGTGGATGTTATTGTTGAAGTATCAGCTGAAAACTGGGTTAAATAGCTGTTCAGTCTGCAGTTTGGA